GGACGCAGTATTTTGCGCTTCTCATCAACCAATCGCAGTTGTCATGAGCAGACTTCTTCCCCTTCATTAAAAGGTATCGATCGTGAAGAGCTGGGTGCAGACCTCAGTTTTTGTTGACATCTCAGATTCCCGCCTTCACTTACTTACACAAGTCTACAAGTCTATTACCTTTTTGGAGAGAAGACATACTGCCATAATTGACCCCACGATTTTGAAAGAAATAGGTCTTATAAGAACATAGATTTCATTGTGAAAAGGAGAAATGGGGGGCCAGTGTAAAATGATAGAGAGAGAGACAGGGAAAGTTTTATTGGGTTGAAGCGGTTGTTTGATTCTTTTGGACTTCCTTTTTGGCTCGGTCCCGACTTAATAGTCCCAGACTGATGATCCCACTCTGTGTGACATTTTCCTCCAACTTCTGTTTCTCCAACTGTTGGGCTTGTTTCTTGCTGAAGTTTTCCTGAAGCGTCTTTGCATGTGCAATCTATACAAGTAAACCCCCAGGTCAGCGTCAATTCATCATCACCCCTTTCACTCTTTTTTCTTCTTTTTCTTCTTGGTTGAACGATTGTTGAAAATTTGGCCAAAGAAATTAAAAAAAGGATGTTAAATTTGTAAATCTACTCAAGGTCTTTAATTAACATCCACTTCATGAGCGTAAACCAAGGGGAGGTCGTGTGGCCAGAATGGTGGAAAAGGCAAAGATAAAGATCAGAAAAGCGTCGCAAGAGGAAAGAGAAGAAGTATGACAGGAAAGTCGAAGAGAGTACCGGGCAGGGGGTTGTGAGAGGCGATGAAGAGGATGCTAAATTCAGAGGTACATGGAAATGAGGAATATGCTATATTCATAGGTACATAAGCAAAAAGCGAGGTGGTGGAGAGTAGCGCTTGGTATAAGGAACGTAGAAAATGAAAAAATGGTGGACAAAGTTGCTTGATATGGTAGGTTCAGTTAACGTTTTGAGGAGAAAAAAGAGATACAGAAGAGGAAAAAATTACGAGAATCGGATTGGGCAAAGAGGAAAAGGAACGGAACAGGGAAAACATTTGTGAAGTACGAAGAGCAACCAGTTGACAAAGGATTAGTTTTTAGAACAAAAGTGGATGATGTATCTTGAAAACAAAAGAGATAAAAGGTATATAAGAGGATGGGAAAAGTTTAGGAAAAACGGTAACGCAGGGTCAACGCGAGAATTAATGTCTCAAGTGCCATCACAATCCGTGATACCTGTAGTTTCTAAGGGTTCGTCGCTTAATGTTAAACTTGTTAATAAATGGTTCCTATAAAAACGATTTCAATGCTCAAGAAGACTCATTGAATAGAATAAATGAGATCAAGTGAATCGAATTGAATACTTTGCTTTTGTGATAATATATGAGTGATAATATGTGTGTGTGTATGTGTGAGTCAGTTTTCCATAAATCGTTTACAAAGCCAAGTTCAAGATACGAGATAAAAGCAGTCTATTTTATTTTCGAGGGCGATTTTTTAAGAAGAGGGCTTGGAGTAATCTATTCTATGTATTTAACTGGATGATAATTTGATGTTGGTCTGAGATCGTATGTATCTATCTATTATTTCTTCCTCTGTTTGAGTTTCTTCCCGTTCGGAGATTGGGATGAGCTAGGGGGGAGCCATTGTTGGTCGACATTCTTTTTCTTGTTGCTATCTTCGGATTTCGATCCGCCATTATTATTATTGTCATTGAGCGCATTCATCCGTTCTTGGGCCCTTGTGATTTCCTCCCCACTGACTTCTTCACCTCGCCTGATCCTCTCCATGATCTCTGGTGGGATGGCCACCCGACGTACTCCGGTCTGGAAGCCAGCTACGCCTCGTCCGATTCCCTTCTTGAGCTTCTCTGCCTTCTCGATTCTTGCTCGGTTGAGGTAGTTGATTAGGATGAGGATCGGTATGCAGATGACCAAGTAGATCGGGATCATTGATGTGTCCATGATGAGTTTATGATTTTGATGACTTTGTTCGGTCAGTGACGAGAACACTAGAACTGCCCGGGTTCAGTCACAGATGACACGGGGTTTGTCTGAGCCGACCTCGAGCTCCCCGAGGCGCCCTGATGAGGCTGGCTCCGGTTTTGTTCCAACTCTGGCCTATTGTATGTCAGCTGGCCTCAGCCCTCTTCTCCAGCTCCGCCGCCCTTCCCCGCCCTGCCCCGCTCTCTGCAGCTTGGACTGAGTGCTCAGTCCCCGTGGCTGAGCCCCGTTGTCTCCGCTGATGGCTTCACTCTGCCTGGGCTGGCTTCCCATCCAACTCCACTCTGATCATCATCAACCACATTCTCACTTCTTCTACTACACCACCACCACCACCACTCAACCATCTCAACACACACAACACACACAACACACACAACACACAAGCACTCAATCTCGAAAAGATGACTACTACCAAACTACCACTGCCTCACTTCCTCAACCTACCACTCCCACCCATCCCATTCGACCCATCCTCATCCTCATCAAAACCCGCCACTGCAACTACTACTACGACGACGACTAACCAACCATTGGTATTTAAACTCAACCTATCTCCAGAGCAGTACGATGAACTGCTCAACCTCGATGCCGAGGTCGAGGAGGGCGAGGAGGGCGGGCTAAGGGTAGAGTTCGACCCATCCGGGAAAGCCGTCAGTCATTTCCTCTCCCACCTATATCAACACTGATAACCAGCAACTCACCCTTGATCGATCGATCACTTCATTCAGGCTCTCCATCTCAACCCCAATCGCATCCTCCAACTCAATCCACCTCGCTCAGGACCATCTCGCACCAACAGACCCGAGGAGATCTATCGTCATACCCCGGCCTCCACTCCATCCTCAACTCGCTCACCTCTCACCGGCCTCTTCAGGATTCCGACGAGCACAACGGTCTATGACCTCCAACGCTCTCAACCTCCCTCGGATCTTGCGATCGCCCCATCCTCAACCCAGACGCGCCCGATCGAACCCACAAAACAACCTAGTAGCAAACCTAGTAATCACACCCCAACCAATCACACCCCTCAACCACCTAGACCCTCGCGTGTAACCACAGACTCGGGTCGGAGCGAAAGAGAGAGACTGGCCGGACAACGGCTCAAGGAAAAAAGGATGGAAGATGATCGAAAGAAGAAGGAAAAACAGATGGTCATCCTGCCCGATGCCCCTTCGACTGTCCCAGCCACCAGGAAAACTCGCCCCATTAAATCAAAAGGTCGGTCTACTCAACCCACCACCTCTCTCTCAGAAGCTCTACAACAAAACTCACTGATATCCCCTCTCTCATTGTTTTTCTATTGACAGTTCCCAATAAACAAATCTCATCTATCAGTAACAGGCAGCCTCCGAGCACCGTTTCATCGAACGCTAGTCTCTCATCATCTAGGAATCCACCCCCCTCCGTTGCCCCCGCCTCACAATCACTACCCCTCAGGCGATCTTTACCCGGATCCCAAGCCGGAAAACAACTGGCCCATGGGATGAATCAGCATCTCACGAACCCTTCTGCAGCCTTGCTGAAATCTACCCCTTCACAGTTGCAATCAGAAGCGCTGTCGCCCCCACAACCGGTACCAGCTCCTGCTCCGCCGCCAGTGGCGTTCAAACCTTCCAGTTCGAGCCGACGCGGGAAGCCAGCTACCCTCAATCAACCCGCTCTTTCCGACTCAAAATCCGCGCCGCCATCAGAACCTCCAAGTGCCACCAAGCTTAGCACTAGCACCGGGCTGACAAGTCTATCAGAAGAGGGCGAGGCTGATCAACAACGCCTGGTGGATACACCTTCTTCACATCCCGTCAAGCGACCCTCGCCTCCTGTTGCTCCTCTCAAGCCGAAAGACTCACCGCAGTCGTTCAAGTCGTCACCCCGTGTCAATGCTGCACCAAATGAAGTCAAAACTCACTCCTCCCAGTCATCTCTTCCCGAAGCCAATGCGATCCTACCCGAAAGACCAAGTTCGGCAACATCGGTACACAAGCGACCTGTGAGAAAACAAGCTGCTGCCCCCGCCCCTCAGACATCAGCTAGCCCTCAAGTGGAGAGTGCCCGGAGTCCTCCGGATGCCGATATTACTCATAACTCGTCAAAGCGGCCTCGGCCGGATATCTTGGCTCCTAATCCTCCCCGACCCAAGAAAACTCAAAGACGAGATGGGAACGAGCGACGGCCAGTGGATAATCAGCCCGCCCCACCGACACAGTTAAATCGTGTTCCTTCCAATAATGGTGCCGCACGGCCCGAAGAGCCAGTCCGGAAATCAGGAGTGACTGTCAAGAAGATCACGGTTCCAGCAGTAAACGATCGCAATCCAGCTGTGGCAGCAAATCGACATGAGGCTACTCCAGCTCCTCCGATCAGCAAGAAGAGGGCACTTGATGCTGAGCCTGTAGCACCCAGCAATCAGCTCACCAAGCGAGTTCGACAGGAAGAGGGCGGTCTTGGGTCGGCATCAAATCTACCGCCGATTCGCAAAGTGGTTCGACCGCCACCTGTTGTTCCGCTGGAGGCAGAGAACACCCAGAACGGGCAGGCGAAGCGGATCAAGAAGAAAAAGCGGACCAAGCGAGTTGATTACACCAGTTCGGAAGTCGAGGAGGGAGAGGAACCGGGTGAGATCGTCAACACTTCAAGCCGGACTCGTCCCTCCTTGCCCGCTAGCACATCAAGTCACCAGCAGGCTCCAAGACAGATTGATGCCGTCAAGGCCCCTCCTCCTCCATCGACCCAGTCAGAGAAGGCCAGAGATAGTCATCCCAGCTCACAGAAACCGGCAGGCCATCCGATGAGCCCGGGCCGGCCTCTGAAGTCGAATGGGAAGTCGAAGCCGAACGAGCAGGTCGAGCGTAGTCCGGAGAGGACAGTGGCAAGCTCGAGACCGACGGGGGTGGCAGGCGCTGAGGAAGACGGATCGTCGTCGTCGTCTTACAAGAGCTTGCGGCTGACCTTCTACAGGCTTCTCAAACATTATGAGTTTGTCTGTGCCAGACTGGAGCGGTATAAGTCTGATCGATCGGCCGTTGGGAATGTGGAGGAGGTTGAGGAACTGGTGGTTGAGGTCCGTGGGCTGGAGATGGAGTTGGATCGGATCAGGAATCGGCTGGTTCGGAACTATGCTTGATGATTGGTTTCGTTCAATCCCTCTCTCTCTCTCTTTGTTCTTTTCCACTACTTCACTCCTGTCATCGCTTCTCCCCTTGTCGTTGTTTTCTTTTTTTTTGATCCCTTTCTTATACATACCTCATCGATCTTATTCAACTACATTCGGCCCTTATCTCTCTTGCGCTTTGTTTTGTTTTTTTTTGTACATGTACACATCACTTATTTTCATAATATAACTATCCGTTGTTATCATTATCTTTCTTCTTCTTCTTCTTCTACAAACATACATACATAGATCTGATTATATCAAAATCAATAAATTATTGTTCTTATTGTGTATATGTATATGATGATTAATCTGATAGTGTTCTCAAATGTATCTTCTGTTTTTTTTTTTCTCTTTGGTGTTTCTTTGTTTGCAGTTTGAAAATATACATACATATACACATCACATGTACATCATGTTTCTTGATTGCTTTTTTTTTGTTGGGTTGTGTTTTGAGATTGACTGATGGATGACTACATACATACATACATATGAGAATAGATCGTAGATTGGCAAGTTGAACACAAGTTTGGCATATAAGCACTTGGCAACTTGAGTCTTGACAGATCCCTGCCAAAAGATGAGAACACTCTTGAAAGAAATTGTTGATTGAATATTTATGTATGTAAAGGCAAGTCCAATAATGAATACGTCAGAGTGGGTTTTCATGTTTATCAAGTTTGTCTAGGTAATAGCACTATTCATGATGCATATTTAAGTAGAAGCACTCTGTGTAGCGCATACACTCACTTCAAACTTTAAACTGGAGGTTGCTGTTGTATGTATGTAGGCCGGCCGGTCGGGTTGTCGTATAAGAAGAAGAGGGCAGTTACAATCAAAAGTCAACCAGAACACTTCTTCTTCTTCTTCAAGAGTGGGAAAAGGGTAAAGAGAGGAAGAAAAGAAAAGAAAAGAAAAGAAAGATGACACTCGACTCGATCCAGAAACACCTCCAACATACCACTGCCCAACTCCATCAACTCATCATCAGAGCACAACAACAACAGCAGGACATCCTCAACAACAAAAAGAAAGCAGTACAAGCACAGTGGCCTCCAGACGAATGGTTTAATCATACCAAAACTGCAAGAACAACAGCTGATAACCAACCACCACCTCCTCCGATCACTAACTCACTCTCATTACCATCAACTCAATCAACAACAACAACAACAACAACAACAACAACAACAACAACTCAATCAACAAACTCAATCATCCTCAACGACTCGCCCTGTAACACTCAATCCATCTCACCCAATATCACACCAATCATCAACCAACCATCATCATCACCAAAGATCACAAAACAGCCTCCTCCTCCTCCTCCTCAGCAAACTGTCACTACTACTACCACTACTTTTAGACCACCGCCTCCTCATCCTAGTCGTCTCGATCACTCCAAATCGATCGGCGTCAAGGAAACTTTGGATGCCCATTCCAGCTTCAGCGAATTCGGCCAAAAACAGGTTAATCAATACCTTATCAAACATGGTACGATATCTCCCTCTTCTTTCAAAAAAAAAAAATGATCATAAGGAAACAAAAACTGATGTTGAAAAAAAAAATGTATTGTACATATATAGAGATCGGGAGAGGCTCGTTTGGGGCTGTCCAATTGGCCGAAGACGCCCAAACTGGGCTCTCCTATGCCATCAAGGAACTCTCCAAAACTAGGCTCAAGAGGAAATTCGCTAGGGAGTTGCGGGCCATCAATCATCCCTTCCTCGAGAATAATCATCATCATCAACAAACAAAATATCAGCATCAACAACAAAAAGATGATGCACTTTTCTTGATCAGAAACGAGGTCGCCATCATGAAAAAAGTAAGTCACCAAGAATGCTTGTCAAGAGAGGGAAGAAAATCGGGGATCTGAATTCTGTTGTTTTGAGGATTGTAGATCCGCCATCAAAACCTAGTCCGATTATACGAAGTCTTGGACGTCGAAGGCGAAGACAGTTTGTACATGGTGATGGAGTATTGTCCGGGCGGCTCGTTGATGCGTCTGGTCCAAGAAACCCGGCAACAGAAGTTGGCCCAGTTAGGGCTACTCGACCCTCATTATCTGGAAGAGAGGAAAGAAGCGCAGGGCGAGGGGGCTTTGCTGAGTCGTGCTGTCGGGCTCGATCTCGATCTGGCGCGGAAATACTTCAGACAACTCGTCTTGGGCATCGATTATTTGCACCGGAACGAAATCATCCGTCAGTCCCACATTCATCACCACTTCTCCTCCAATCCTACATATATACATAGATATATATTTATATATCTGATGATTGTGGGAAATGACAGACTACGATATCAAGCCGGATAACTTACTACTATCTTCAGACAAGAAGCAATTGAAGGTCGTCGATTTTGGCATCTCCGCCATGTTTGTGAAGCCGGGCGACGACAGCACGGTGTCCCGGACCATCGGCAGTCCGGCCTTCTTGAGTCCCGAGCTCATCAGGGCCGCCCAATCTGATCTCCCCGTCAGTGGGACTGCTGCTGATATTTGGGCTATGGGTATGTATCTTCTCTTCTTTCTAAGTTTTTTTTTTTTTGTTTGCTGATTCTTGCTGATTCGGTCTTTTACTTTCCGGCGGGGGGGCTTTGTTAGGCGTGACACTTTACTTTATGCTCACTGGTGCTCTTCCGTTTCCTTCGGATCAAATGATGGCGATGTATGAAGCCATAGAAACAAAAGCGTGAGTACTTTTTTCGGATTCGATGGGAGTTACACATGTTTGTGGTTGTTGCTGATGTGCTTGTTTATACAGGCCGGCGATTCCGGATGAGTGGGATGGACCGTTGATAGATCTGATGAGCAGGATCTTGGACAAGCAGCCGAGCAGTCGGATCAAGATGAGCGAGTTGAGAGAGCAAGAATGGGTGACCAATGGCGGCAAATTGGCGGGCCTAAGTCCCACGATCATCCACCCCTCCTCAAGATCCTCCCTCAAAACAAGTAATCCCAATCCTGATCGTACTCGGAGCCTTAAAGACGAAGAAAAAGAACATGATGAAGATGATGATGAAAAAGGAGATCGGACGACTAAAGTTACGGAGACTGATCTCAAAGAGTCTTTCAGATTCGGCTTCACTAATCGCTGTCCGGTGTTCTCTGAACTGGTCGACAACGCCCTCAAACTCTCCTCGTGGATCCCGCTTTCCTCTTCCTACTGCTCGCCCTCCTCCTCCTCTTCCTCTTCTACTCAACCCTTACTCGGCCGTCGGAAGGAACTGTTCTTGTACGTCGATAACCTCCTCTTTTTTTTTCTGCCCTCCGCCCCTCCTCCCTTTTTTTTTTATTGGGGAAGGGGGACAAGGTTAGTTTGGGAAAGACTGTCATCTGATTTTTGGATTTTCACGCGTTTTTTTGGGGGGCTTTTTTTTTTTTTTTTAGTAAGGAATTCCATCGTCAAATTAGTGAACGAACTAAGACTAAATTCCATTCCCAATCTTAATCAAGCAGGGAAATTAAAAATCTATACCTTCAAATGCTCTATATATTAGATTAAAAAAATAGTTAAACCAGCTACATCAAATCCACCAACCAAGTCAAAACCCCAAAATATCCCACTCTCAATATTTTCAGACTCAAAGCTCTTACTTCTCACCCCTCACAACTTATTGTTGATCATGATGGTCTTTTGTTCTTGTGGTTTTCATTTCCTTGCTTTTCTTTCCAAGAAAGAAACAAACAAAAAAAATCATATATATGTATGTTAATCAGATCAACGATTTAAAAAACAAAAGGATTTCTTGAGAGGCTTGTTCTTGAACCTTTTCCTTGGATTTTTCTTCCCTGTCTCGCTTCCTTGCTCCCTTTTGCCTACCCCCCCCCCCCCCTCCAGCTCTTTCAATTTTTTTTAATCAGTCTTGTTCTTCTTTTTTGTAGGTTCTAGGGTCGTCTTATATATCTATTTATCTGTACGCATGTAAATTGATGTAACATTCTTGTCTTTCTTGTTTTGTTCTTTTTTTAGAAAATGGATTAATGGGGAGAAAAGAAAAGAAAAGAAAAGAGGGAATGTATGTATGAAGATGTTGATTCTTGATTGATTTCTTGGGAGTTGGCTTTATATGTTATAAGTTATATAGGTGAAGATGTTGCAGGGTTGTTTGAAGGATCGAGGTGTTTTAGAGCATCTCTGCTGCAGGTGGTATATCTGGGGTTGTAGTAAGCCCGATATACCACCCCAAACTTGACACAAGTCTGGTGTACAAAATTGGGCAGAGGGGCTGAAAGTTGAAACAGGAGTGGTGCCTCTGTAATTTGTTCATGAGGGACTTGCACAGAATGTTGAGTTCACAGTGTGATGGCAAAAAAGAGCTTTGGTGTAGACTAGAACACCTTGTCAACCTTAGAGACATGTTGACATGTCCTAAAGGTTTCACAAACCATTTAAAACAAATGGAAAAAATAATCAGACTTGATCAACCGACTCCCAAAAATTGGAGAGTCGAACCCCAAACCCAGGTTTCCCCAAAATTTGGGAGTCGATTCCCCAAATCCATCCGTGGGTTCCTCATCTCTAAAAAACTCATCTATCTCATTTATGAATCAATCATGATTTGATAAATAATATTCAGGATTTTTACTTTGTTTCTGATAGTTTCTGTGTGATATTTTGTAATGTTATCTAGTGCTGAAATCCTTGTAGTCTTTGAACCCTGGTCTAGTCTTTATCAACTTACACTTATTCCGGTCATCTTTTCAAGCATATGTTTATCAGTCTTATTCATCTTGATATTCATTTTTTCTCAGCCACTTGTTTGACATCTAGTATGTAGACTATTTAACACATAGTCTCCTCAAAGTAAAAAAAAAAACATATTCGCTCTCACCCTCTTTTTCCGACCCTTGAGTCTTTCCAACAAAAAGTCACTTTTTGAAGAAAATTCTCTGCCTCTCCGGGTAAAATTTCATCAGAAACCCGGGTTTGGGAGTCGACTCTCCAATTTTTGGGAGTTGGTTGAACTTGACCAAGTCCGAAAATAATAATATTGAAATTCATGAAGATTTCAATTACATGCTGGAGGTTTCACAGATATATGATCTCTTGAAATTAAGATTAATCAAAGAACACCAAATCCTTTGAATATTAAAAGCAATCTTCAAAAAAGATGACTTCAGCCTTGCAAGATGATCAAATCAAGGCAATGCAAACAATACCAAGCTTTGGAAGAAGGACTGGTACAAAATAGTCAACCCCAGAGACCAGAACAGTCCTTCCATCCTCCTCAGTGAATAGAAAACTTCTTACTTCCCATAACTATTCTTGAGATATATGTAAAAATAAAAGGTAAATTACTTAGAATAACTCATCAGGAACTAACCATTTCCGATAGTCTTATTTTATCTAACCCTTTCTTATTTTAATTATCTACAAAATAGTTTGACTTGAGAAATTTTGATTAACTCGTGCTTTACTCTCTATCTTCAGATCACCCAAGCCAACCTCTTTAAAATGTTGCTCTTCCTCATCTGTTACTTTGCTTTGGATCATTTTAATAATGATATCTTAAATGAACTATCAAAAAATGAATAAATAAATAAATAAATAAATAAATAAATAAATAAAGAGGATGGGTTAATCAACTCCCCAAAATTGGAGAGTCGACTCCCAAACACCAAAACCCCCGAAATTAGGGAGTTGATCCCCCAAAACTGTCAACCGGTTTGGGAGTCGACTCCCTAAAAATTTAAATTTAAATAAATAAAAACCCCTGGTTGGTTTGGGAGTCGATCCTCCCAAACCGACCAGGGTTTGGGGGTCGATGAATCTAACCAACCGCCACCCCACGTCAGCGGCTGGGAAGAATCGCCGCTGAGAGCACCTTTTTGACGGCCAAGAGGGGAAACCCTCTCGGCCGTTAGGGTTTCCCCTCGCCGTCAAGAGTATACGCTCTCAACGGCTGAGAGGAGAAACCCTCAAGTCAACTAGACCCGCATGAATCAAAAAAGAAAAAAAAAACAAGTGATTTTGCTTGGTTTCCTTTTGTAGCTACATACAAGATCAAGATTACAAGGGTATGGAAAATGAAATAGAACAAAAGATGTGGATCTGAAAAAAGAACAGTTCCGTCTGTTGGGATTATGATTAACAGAAGGTTTTTTTTTCATTTTTGAATCTTTTTTAACATTGTAAATGAAATAAATCCAAAGTGATGTCATGCACCAATCAAAACTTCACCCCTAAGCCTCTCTACATGATTGTTCCCTGTAACACACTTGTAGTAGAGGCTTCTTAAGCTCAAAAACACCCTACAAGGGTGGGTGGTATACAGGGCGGTAAGCTACATTTTCTGTCCAAAAAATGTACATACCAAGGTGGTAGAAATACCACCTTGGTATTTCTACCACCTTGGTACCTCCCTTAATACCGCTCTGGGATCAGTGAAATCCACCCCTCCAACCTGTGAACTCTTCATTTTCCCAGCCTTCAGATTCACCAATGATTGATATCACTGAATTATCACTACATGATTGCCATGGACATTTACCCTCCAATTTCTTGCCTCCTGGTGTTGTGCAGCTCTCATCTCAGGTCACAGCTGTTCCTACAACCCAGCACATACCACCCAGGGTTACCACCCAATGTGGTGTGCTGTGCCTGTTCCAATGCCAAAAGCATACAGCTGAGGTGTTAGGATAGTATAGTTACATGCATGTGACAGTCATTACAAGAGAAGGAACAATCATTATGGATGAGCTGTGCTATATACGGACAGGATTACAGACAATGAGTGGATTGGGAGAACATATCTCAACCAGGAATGGAATGGAGGAGTGGGGTGCATAGAATGGTATTGAAATACATCATCTGGACATTTCAAAATATGAAGAATACACTACAATGCACCCCTCTATTGGAGTACAAATGACAATTTTTTGGAGGGTATATAGCCTCCCCCCCAAAAAAAAAACAGGAAGCATGAGATTCTCAAATTACACAGTATTAGCAGCACTCCCATTTCAAGTCCCTGACCTGTCAACTGGGCTGACTGTCCGGGGCCCCGACCTCTGACCCGAGCCCGGCCCGGCTTACCACTGTACAGAGTGCACAGCTGGGCAAGATCGCACAAGCTCCAAGTGGTAACTCTGGTGCTGCCATTAGACACTTTACAGAACCATCTTCAACACTATTTCGTTACTCTTATCGACCTTTCTCTTCGACAATGCCCAGCACCTCACCGGACTACTTAGGCTTGTTTGTCCTTACCACTTCGGGTCTCTTATCGTCTCATGGTGCGGATGACTTATAATATGGACCCTTTGTTTTTTGCTGAGCCAGTGCCTACGGCTTTCTGGTTGCAACGGGTGGCATCATGGGGTGAGTGCAATGACAGGTCTTGATTATATAAAATTGCTATGGGGATCCCTAGATTTGACCGCGAAAATATTTCTTCAGCTTCGTTAAAGCTTCGAGCGTCCCTTCCTTAGTTGCCGGGACGGTATCAGGTGACCCCGATCTGTTGGGCTGATTTTCAGATGGTCTAGCTGCTGACTCGTCGACTCGACTCATTCGATTTCGCTCGACAACTAGGTGGCTTGATCGCCCTAGGTGCTCATCGATACCAGCAAAAAGGAAAACCTGATTTGATCTTCGGTATTTATCATTCCCTTCCTACTCAATCGGACCCAACTCATCACATCTCGTAACCGTTTATTAAAGTGGATATCAATTTATCTTAAAAATGCTAAACGATATTAGGTATGAGTGTGATGCTAACCCTGCTTATGGGTAAAAGGTTTCTTGCTTCTAGGAAGATGATGCCTGCCGGTATGACCACAGTTGAGTTCGCAATCAATTCTTTTTTTAAACTTGGTTTTCGAAACTTGGGGTCCTTACTGATTCTTCTTGTTCTGGTTGAACATAAAATGATTGGTTCTTAAAGACCTTATCGCTAGTGATGGCAGTCCGATACGGAGTAAAGTTGTTGGGAAAATGAGTCGATTACATGCATTCCTTCATGAGCCTCCAATAACCATTCCGATACCATTTGAAAGGGGTATAAGCCGATTAACTGTACTCTCATGTCTGCTAACCAATATATAGTGTTGTTTCACCATTCTTGTGAAAATATATCCGAACCACATGAAAACGAGATGAGGTGCATATGAACTCAAAGAGTTTTGCAACTCTAGGACTGAGCTAACCACGAAACCGGCAACCAGGTGTTGTTCTAGTTGTGTACCATGTACTTTTAGGTTGCTTGTTAACTAGTGTGGCATAGAACACTATGAGTTTGTGTCAGTTCATGACAAATTATCAGAGAATGGATCTGACTATCATCCACATTACAGAAAGAGATCAAGCCTATAAGTTTTACTTTGATCTAGATAGGAGCATGTGACATATTAGGCCAGTTCATGTCTGAAGTTCAAGGCAACTTTGGGCACATTTATAGACAAATTTTTATGATTTTTTTTGAATCTCATGAATCATCAGTTTTGGGTCAATTCTTGACAAATTTTCGATATTTTCATGATAAATGCCATGAAAATTGCAGCCTCAAAGTTCAGATGTCAACCATCCTATTGGGAGAAAGGAAAAAGTGGTGTTTGACTTTAAGGCCCCAATTAAATAGCCAGTGTCACATGTTATAATGCTGATTGATACTATTGTCTTTTGAAAAATGCTTGGACAAACCGAAGTTTTCCAAGTGCTAAAGTTATGGCATTTTGCTGCTGTGCTGTGGTTTAAGCTGTTGATTTTTGCCACACAGCTCTTGTTTCATTTGCCTTGCTGTGATCAGGCAGATGCAAGCATCCTAGCTGACTACCAGCACCACCAATAACGATCCCCCCCCCCCTCCCCCCAATTATCCTCACACCAATTGCAATCAACATCAATAGATGTTTTTGAATCATTCACCACGGTTTGACCAATCCAAATGGCCCTTGAAGGACTCCTGGTTTTGGCCATCCAACAGTTGGTTTTTCTATTTCCTGTTAGTTGATTTCCCATACAAACAGACCTAATCTGACATCATGGTCTAATCAAACTCGACTTGGGAATATTTGAACAGTAAATGTAGGCCTTGCAAGTCTCAAATTACACCAATGATACAAAATTGGCATTCAGACAAACAACCACAGATGTTATGATGATTGGTCTTTGCTAAAAAGCTTACAGACACTGTGAGTACTGTGTCTCATCAAACTGAAGACTTTTAATGACATTTCCAGCTGAATTTTTCTTGTCTTCTGCACCACTGATTTGTTCACAGCGACATCCAAATCTGATATTGCTTCTGGGGTGCTTACTGATTTCCTTGGGTGATTGTTTTGCTTTATCCAATCAATCAATGCAAAACTTATCAGTTGCCTTTTCTGCATCCATGGAAACTCAAATCTGAAGACTCTCTTGTTGAATAGCCAAACAAACTCAAAAGGATGTGTTGACCATCTTGATTTCCCCATCTGCTTCTTGACTAGGGAGAGTCATGTCTTCAATTCTCGAAACAATACAGTGTCATGTTGTGATTAACATTTTAGATCTGTGATGGCTTGAGAATGTAACAATACTGACTGAGCTTCACTGATATTTTTGATCCTCAACAGTTTATCACAAACACCTCAAATAAACACAGGTAACCCATTTGGAGTTGGTCTTGACAGTGTCATCAAATTCGCTGTTTATCTGATTCTCTTTTCAATTTTTTGGATGTTTTTACTATTATCTTATGCTTGCATGAAATTGGCCTACCTGTTCTTCTCTACACAATTTTGCAATGATAGTGACTTTTCATCAAATCCCAATTGACAGCGGATTATCAATCGGCTGTCACTCCTCAGGCTATTGCTCAAAATAACAGCATTCTGAAGAGGATTAGCACTCAGGGTGTAAGTGGGCCGGGTTTGGGCCAAAAAACCGTGCCCGAATCCGACCCGACATAAGTCTCGGGGCGGGTCGGGTCGGGACAGAAAAGGAATTCTGCTGCCCGAATCCAAACCCGTGTTGGGATGTTTAGGGTTCGGGTCGGGCAGCGTCGGGTCTGGGCCAACCCAACATATTTATGTAGTAAAAGAAAAATGAGTTTTTTTATCATCAAAACACTCTGAGTATGGGTGTGTATATATAGTTTATCTACAGGTGTTTTTTGAGATAAAAAGTTGAAATATAGAAACAAAACAATCAATCACTGAGAGTCAAGACATCATCTTCATTGTCATTGACTTTGTCAAAGCGGAAGAGGCCATCTTCGACCTTGATCCAGTCTTGACCACACACAAGGGCCTCAAGGGTATTGGCGTTCATCTTGCTTCGGAAGTCGCTGAGTACTCAGCCTCCAGTCGAAAATGCTGATTCCGACGCAATTGATGTCATCGGAGTCATGAGGATCATTTTGGCAAGGTTTGTAATGAGAGGATATCGAGCCGCGTTGTCGCGCCACCAGTTGAGGATTTGAAACTTAGGAGAGTCAATCCCAACTGGTGGTTCCTGAAGATAAAGGTCAAGCTCGGCTGTTGCCGAAGCCACATTGATAGTATTCTTCCCTGCAAGAAAAATCTTGTAGCGCTCATGTTCCTCGTCTTCTGGGTTGATTGTTTTTTTTCTTGATTGTTTTCTTGGCTCACATTGGGCTGGCTATTGGTTTCTTGCTGCGATTGAGTTAGCTTGGTAAACCACGTATAAAGCGAAGATTTGATATTCCTGACGATCTCTTTAGCCTTGCTCGGTCCGAATTCGTCCAAGAGTAGAAACTCAAGAAGCTCTAACTTGCACCGAGGGTCGATAACCATATTGATTGCGGAAAAGTCTTTCATTTTATCCCAATACTTCTTGTACTTTGCCTGCATTGGCTCAATTATTGCAACGACGTGATCAGGCCCCGATCCAATAGTTTTTGAGAGGTGTCGATTGATTTTTTTCATGTATTTGAAGACTATGTGCGCGGTTGGATGATGGGTCATTCCAACTTTCAAAGTTTCTGGTATGAGGAACATAAAGATCAGTCACTTATGTGGAAAAAGGAAGTGAAAAAGGGAAAAAAAACATACCGGTGTTGAAAACATCGAGAAATTCATGCATAGCGAATATTTCTTCCAGCGGTGGGCCGCTACGCTACGCTTTTGGCCCAAAAAGCGTAGCATAGCGGCGCTTTTTTTTCCTCAAAAAATTGTAGTGTTAGCTTATGTTTAGCGGGTTTTTGCTACGCTACGCTGCGCTACAGCGCTTTTAGCGGAAAAAGCGGCCAAAAACCGCTAAAAAGCGCTGTAGCGCAGCGTAGTGGGCCCTTTTTTGTGGCCCACACGCGTAGCGTTAGCGGTGTCGTGGCAGAATTCCGCTACGCTACGTTTAGCGCTAACAGGAATACCGCTGTGTTACGCTACACTAACCGCTACGGTTAGTGTAGCGGCCCACCGTTATTTCTTCCCACTCGTCCGCACTAGGGCAATCGGTGAAATTGGAGTCTTGAATCAATAAGCTTTCAAAGGCATCTTTGTATGGGAATCGCAGATTTGAGCATCAGGCATGTCGAGTTCCAGCGGGTTGGGACGTCGGACAGATGGGAGAGCTTGCCATTTGATATTGGTCAGCTTGATCGCATCCTGGAGGCCTCCTTGGCGTGATGGTGTGCTCTTGACATAGCGAACACATTCTCGTATATTTTTTATGGCATCTGAGAGAGAACGGAGTCCATCCTTCACAATGAGATTGATGATGTGGGCAGCGCAACGTACATGAAAAGAATTTCCTTTCATACAGGGAGGTGACTTGCTGCAATCCATGAGAACAGATAAAACCCAAGATATTGCAACATCATTCAAGGACACGTTGTCAACCGTTATGAAGGCAACCTTGTCAATAATCTTCCATTCAACAATGGTTGAGATCAGCTGATCTGAAATGGCAATGCCGGTCTGGGGAGTCGGAAGCGGTTTAAATGAAATGAGGCGCTTGTTCAGAGTCCAGTCGTCAGAGATGAAATGGGCAGATACCACCATGAATGGGGTCTGGTTAGATGATGTCCAGAGGTCAGGCGTTAATGCCACACAATCAACTTTTGAAATGTTGAGTAAAAGATTTTTCTTCATTGTTTGATACAACTTCATGATGTCGGTCTTCACAGTTGCGCGACCAAAGATTTGGAACCAAGGCTGCAAGGAAGCGATGAAAGATCGAAATGCCGGATGATCGACTAATTTGAATGGTTGCTCTTGCACCATGATCATCTTGATCAAGAGTTTTTGAGAGTTTTCTTGACAAAAAACCCAATTGGTGGGTGCATCGCCTTTGGCAACAGTGAGTAACTGCTGCTTGCTCTTGCTAGCATACGAGTTGCATCTCTGAAGGTGGTGCCAGAGGTGGTTTGTACCGTTTGTACTTTTACCGTCTAATTTCTGTTTGCAGTACTTTCACACAGCGTCTACATTGATGCCTGTTATGAGTGGCAAAATGGTTAGCTTTCTGACCACTGAAGTGATTTTGATCTACATTCACTCACCATGGACAATTTTATTGAAATGTAACCATATATCGCTCGTTGTCTTTCTTTTCTTCTTTTCTTCAGCTATTCCTTCTTGAGTGCTGGACAAATCTGTACCCCCATTCGTGGGGTCCTTTTGCGAAGCAGTAGGAGTTAGCATAGGAGTATTGATGGCATTGCTTTCCGTCATGGTCATCTAATTGGATTCTTGAGTTTGACACTCAGAGGAAGCTGGAGTTGGGTTGTCTTCAGTTTGCATTCTTTTTTTTGCCTTGCTGGGGTGGGCCATGTTGGACATGGAGATTAGGTAGATGTGTACAGGTCCGAGCCGGACTGGTACATATAGGAAATATATGCCAACTCGGGTCCAAGTCGGGTTTCTGGGCCGGCCCGACCAGCAAGTAGCCTACCCGAACCCGACCCATGGATCTTATGTCCCTTTCCGGGTTGGGTTTGGGTCATTGAATTTTCCCTCTAAATCTGCCCAAACCCGACCCAAATCCTGTCGGGTCTCGGGTCAGCCTCGGGTTGGCCCGCCTGACTACCACCCTGAATTAGCACTGATTCAAAAATTTGGACCAAGATGTAAGCATCAATTTGGGATGAGGTTCTGTTAACCACTGATTCCGACTAAATTCTTGAGATTTGTCTCTGACTCTCTCTTGAGATGACTCGCACCTCATGAATGACAACTCTGAGATTGCTTGTACTCATTTTTCCAAGTTGGGATGTAGTCAATGTTAGATTTGATTTCTGTTAACTCTCAAGGTCAACAAAATCATACCTGATTGCCGTAAACAAGGGGGATAGGAAACAGTTTGAGATCAATCTTATGCAGCTGGATAAGAAGCAGGATAGGAAGTAGGTCAAGATTGAG